GAGGAAAGAGCGTTGGAGAACTCACACTATCGCATTTCAAAACTTATTCCAGGGGCCAGCCTCGTGGTGTACTGGTTAAGTTCACGTGCTCTGCTCTGGTGGCCCAGGGTTCACGGGTTCGGACCCTGGGCGCCGACCTATGCACTGCTCATCAAGCCAGGCTGTGGTGGCGTCCCACATATAAAGTAGAGGAAGACTGGCACAGATGTTAGCTCAGCGACAGTCTTCCTCACACACACACAAAAAACTTATTCCAAAACTGCAATAATAAAACAATAATTAAGTGTGGTATTGGCATAAGGACAGGTAAACTAATCGACAGAACAGAATAGAGAATCAGAATTCATTCTGGAGAGTCTATTTTTGACAAAGATGCCAACGCAATTCAATGGGAGAAAGGCAATTCTTCTCAATAACAGTGCTGGGTTGCATGGAACATCCATATGAGAGCAAATGGACCTTGACCTCTTCATACCATGAGCAAAAATTAACTCAGGATGGATCAGAGACCAAACTGTGAACGTCAAAACCATAAAGCTTCTAGAAGGAAACACAGGAGAACATCTTTATGACCTTGGGGTAGGCAGATGCCAAAAGCACTAGCCACAAGAGGAAAAGTTGATAAATTAGACTTCCTAAAATATTCCTACCCTTCAAGATGCATCACTAAAAAAGTGAAAAGGCAAACTACAGACTGGGAGAAAATATTTTCAAAACTCACACCTGACAAATATGCAGAGTATATAAAACCCACACAAATACACACAAAAAAGACAAACGGCCTAATTAACAAATGGATGAAAACCTTAAACAGACATTTCACAAAGAACAGATCTGAATAGCCGATCAACATGAGGCAGAGTTTCAGCGGGATGACCTATGAGGGAAGTAAAATTAAAGCCACAACGAGACAGCACCACGTACCTTCCCAGACGGCTGAGACATAAGGCCTTACAGTACGGAGCGCTGGTGAGGACACGGGGCAAGCGGAACTCTCACACACGGCCAGGGGCGTACACATCCAACCCCTTGGAAAACCGACAGTTCCTTCTAAAGTAAAGCATAAGCACCCCCGTGACCCCCATGCCACCCCAGGTAAGTAACCATGACAAATGAGTGCACACGTCCACACCAGGATACACACAGAACCATCCAGCGGCTTTCTTTAGAACAGTCCTGATTGGGGAGCAACCTGACTGCCCGTCTACAGCGCACTAGAGAGATGCGGCATCCTGGGGACACACGGACACCGTCCAGCAAGGACAGCAAACACGGCTGGGGCCCTCCGTGCACCTGCATCTCAGATGAGAGAGGCCAACACTGTGGCACATGTACTATATGATCCCGCATGCTGGCCCAGCAGTCAAAGGCAATCTATGGCGATTTAAGGCAAATAGTGGTCACTCCGGGGCCAGCAGGTAGGCTGGGAAGGGGCACCTGCCTGGATCTGGGGAGGGTCATGCAGGTTAACACCCAAGCTGTGTCTGCTTAAGATCTGCACCTACGGCAAGTCATGCCTAAGAACAGAGTGTAAAATGAGATCCTATTGACTACGGCATTAAAAACCACAAATACCTGGGGAAAAGAAATCTAATGAAAGATGTGCCAGATCTCTACCCCGAAAAACCACAAAACACAACTGAGAAAAATCAGAGAAGTCCTAGTTGAATGGAGCAGATCATGATCACGGTCTGAAAGACTCAATATAAAAAAGTTGTCAGGGGCTGGCCCGGTGGCGCAGTGGTTAAGTGCGCGCGCTGCGCTTCGGCGGCCCAGGGTTGGCAGGTTCGGATCCCGGGCGCACACCGACGCACCACTTGTCAAGCCATGTTGTGGTGGCGTCCCATATAAAGTAGAGGAAGATGGGCACAGATGTTAGCCCAGGGCCGGTTTTCCTCAGCAAAAAAGAGGAGGATTGGCATTGGATGTTAGCTCAGGGCTGATCTTCCTCACACATACACACAAAAAAAGCACGGAGAATAACAGAATATAAACATGTATGTCAAACTAAATAAATATTGACTATATAAAAAAAAAAAGTCATCAGTTCTCCCAAGGTGATCTGCAGATTCACGGTGATCCCAATCAAAATCCTAGCAGCTTTTTCTTTTTTTTCCGAAGTTGACAGGCTGATCCTGAAACATGTACGGAAACGCAAAGGGCCATGAAGAGCTTCGGGTACAGAATGTGCTTCCCGCCCTGCTGGCCGGGCCTGGCCAGGTGACCTGCTATCACCCACAGACATTCTGCAGCAAAGGCCCCGAGCACACTGGCATGGCTGGCTGGCTCTCATGGAACAAACAAGCTCTGGGCAGCCACTGGTCTAAGGATGAGGGGTCATGTGGAGCTGGCCCACACCCAGCGGGTAGCCTGGAGGCAAGTCCAGCTAATCCCCACCGAACACTCCAGCCTCATGACTGAAAAACACTTGCTGAAGCCTCAAGTGCTGAAGGCGTTTGCTCCGCGTGACTACTGCAGCAGAAACCTGATTCAGACACAGAAAGTGGTATCCAGAATAGAAAGAAACCTAAAAGAAGTGATGGCTTTGGAACCAGCCAGAGCATGGTGAGGAGACGTTATAGCTCTGGGAAAACGGAGACCTGCGTAAGGAAGGGGCAAAGCAAGAGGCGCAGCTGTGCAGGAGCGACATGGAAGCAGGAAATCCGCCTGTCACTCACGGTGCCGGGCAAGAAGGCTTGGGCAGAACGGTGGTGAGGAGAGCCAATTCATTTGGACAGAGCGGTAACAAGACCTTTCCCCTTCCGCAGGAGAACCTGACGTGAGGTTAATCCTCTCACTCTCCCCTACTGGTAACTCGATCAAGGTCGATGTGAACTATGTTGGTAGGCAACATTGCTTACAGCAAGAATGACCTCTGGCAGGTAGACTGCGTGGGGACTGGGAGAGTCATAAATGCCCCGTGTGGGAGAGCCACACCACAGGCCTTCCTTGAGGGACCCTCGAAATTGGGCATGCACTTGATGGGAGCTGGAAGCCCTGTCTGTGGAGCTGCTGCAGGAGTAACATGAGCTCCTATGGGGCAGGAGGCACCTACGCCCAGCAGAGTCCTGCCACCTTGAACATGAGTGGGCAACGGGGGAGACGATGGCACCCAGCGAGGCTGGCCACATGCCCCGCCGTGAGGACCCCCACGCACGAGGAATGCCCGATGCTGCCCTGCTGCCAGGCTGTGTTCCTGTCCCGAGTCCTTCTTAGCGAGCAGAGGCCCAGTGTGGCCCGTGGAAGTCCCACGAGTCAGAACGCTTAGCGGAGCCTCAAGAAGAACCTGAGAGCGTTGGGACATGGTACCACGAGAAAGAAGTAAGCTCAACAAAGAACGCAGAACTGAGCAGAGTGTGGAGAAATACCAGAACTCGCAGAGCTGAAACCTGAGACAAGTTCTCATCTCAGTCCAGAGACAGGTGACGGAGACATGCTTCCAGTTAGAAAGCTCTGTGAGGGCCTGGCCTACTGACCAGGCCAAGGGCTGGCTGGCTCCCCTGTCAGGAGCTCAGAAAGGACTGACGTGGTGGACAAGAAGGCTCCGAGTAGGAGGCTGTGGATTTTGTCCCAGAGAAGCCAGGCACTCCCAGAGGAGCTAGGACTACATCTTCAAAACCGTCGTGGGCGTGGATTTGGAACAGAGTTGGCTGGAATGAAACACATTTTAAAAGCTTCTTTTCGAAGAGTTATACTGGCAGAAGGACCAGCAGGCTGGAGAGTGACGGTGCGTGTTTGCCATGTAAAGACCTTTTAATGTTTATTTGTTTTTTTGGTGGATCTGGACAATCTGATTCCACAACTTGTATGGAAGTATAGGGGCCAAGAACAGCTGAGTCATGTCTAAGGAAGAAAAACCACACTGCGGGGTTTGCCTGAGTGCATGAAGATGTCCTACAAAGCTAAGTGACGGAGACACTTTGGATTGGTCCAGGGTAGTGACGGAGACACTGTGGGGTGGCCCAGGGTAGTGACGGAGACACTGCGGGGTGGTCCAGGGTAGTGACGGAGACACTGTGGGCCTGGCCCACATCTTTTCGTCGCACACATTCTCCAGGCCGCTGCTGGGTGCCAGACACTGTTGGAAGCTGCACTGGGAGCCCGGGGAGACAGAGACTCAGGGCTCCCCCACACCTGTCTACCTGTGCTCCGAGCTTAGGCCAAGGACAGGCTCCCAGGCCACATGTGGTCAGCTCCATCACAAACGTGAAAAAACTGAACGCAAGAGCCCAGCAATCACTGGCCACTGCCCAAGCATGGCCCTTGGCGCTGTTCAAATCTCTACTCAAACCCCCATTTGCACCACACTCCATGAGGGAGCAAGACAAAGGCTCATCTACCCAGTCCTGTGGAGGGGACCCCGGTGCTCAGCTGGTCCCTGGAACTGCTGCAGCAGGACCCCCACTATCCCGACAACTTGGCCTGCCCAGGACAGGGCCAGGGTGCCCCCAACCCTGCCCTGAGCTCAGGCCAGCACCCGCTCCCTGCCCCAACCAAAGGCCCTAGAGGACGTGGAGCAGGCAGCCCCAGGCAGACACGGGATGCCAACAGGCATGGTTACCTGGTGGTCTGGGTGGCCGAGACAGAGTGCCCTCCACCATCTTCACGCTCGGAAGCACGAACGGCAGTGGGCGCACATCTAATAAGTTTGGATCCGAGTGTGTGTCGGACTCGGCTCTGGTAAGACCAGTTTTGGGGGCCTTATTGTCTACGTGTTGAAAATGACAGGAGGGGAACTGTATCTTCCCGCCAGACTCGCTGTGGATGGACTGCACTTTATAGCTTCTCTCAGTTGGCCTCTTTAAGGGCGCAGGCAAGGTGCAAGGAAGTACCTTTTCGTCCCTCAGTCTCAAGTCCTGCTGGAGGGCCGTTGGTGGGGCTCCTGATACTGGGTCTGGCATGGCCGAGGGGCACCTCCCTGTTAGTGGCTGACTGTCCGAGAGCGAAGATGAACAATTAAGGTTGGAAATGGGCCGCATTTGCTTCCTGGCTTTCCTCACGCTGATGCCTTTCACACAGAGCTCGGAGGTGTGGAACAGGGGCAGCTCCACCTTAGGCTGGTGGGGGGGAGGGGAGGTTAGGGGCCAGGCTGGCCCACCGCCAAGGATCTGCCTTCCCCTTTCCCGGTCTGCTGGCCAGCAGTAAGGCCTTAAAGAGAAGCATCAGCCACACTTCCCACCGCCAGGCTGCCCACTGGGCCCTCCTCCAGGGAGGCCCAGGCACAGGGTCCCAGGCGGAGCCAGAGTCCGGGACACAGCCACCACCCAGCCCTGTCACCGGGCCTGCAAGAAGGAAGGCTCCTGGAGGACACAGGCCCTGGAAAGACCCCTGAAGGAGAGCGTGGCTTTCACCCGCGGAGAGAAGGGAGGACACTGCAGGTCTGAAAAGGAACAGCCCAGAAGGGCCGGCAGGCAGCGGACATCCCGCCAGCCCAGGCTGGGGGACCCCTGCCCAGTGGCCACAGAGCTGGGGGTGGCTAGGGACGAGAGGGAGGAAGGTTGGAGGGTGGGGCCGGGTGAGACCCCGGGGCGACCGGAGCTACCCGTCCACTCAGTGTGCGGAGGCGGCCGCGCCCACGGGCGGGCGGGGCAGGCACCAGGCCTGTGGTCCTCCTCGCCAGGCTGGGCTAGGGGCTCCACCCGCCCCCCCACCAGGAACCAGCGTGCGCAGCCCCTCACCTGTCTCAACAGCAGCTCGAAGTTGCCGGTGTCGCAGCTGCGGTCGGTCTTGCGGTCCACCACCACCTTAATGGTGTCCTCCTGCACCTGCGCGCACAGCTGCGCCGTTACGGGCGTGGACGCGTGCATGGTGGGGCTGGAGTTGATCTCGATCAGCCAGGGCTGGTAGTCGCGGCCCAGCACGAAGTCGGCCCCGTAGAGCTCGAAGCTGTTCTTGCGCGGCTCCACGCGGGCCTGCGCCACCCTCATGGCGTGCGCCACGGCGCGCTTCATGGCCGGGTACACCACGCTGCCCCACACGGCGCTCCGGCCCCTCCGGCGCAGGTACTCCTGGAACCGGGTGCTGGTCCACATGTTGTGGCCCGGCAGCAGCGGGCTGCGCCCCTTGTCGTTGCGCAGGTGCTTCTGGATGGAATTGTTGCACAGATGGACGGCGCTGCGGGCAAGGCCGCCGTCAGGGCAGCGCCCCAGGACCCAGACCGAAGCCGGCCCCAGACCCCGCCCCCGCGGGCCCCGGCGCCCCTACCCCGGACCCCCCGGCGACCCCGCCCCCGGCACAGGGCCGCCGCAAGAAGGGTTCTGGCCGCTCCCCATCCGGAGGCAGCCTCTGCAGCCCTCCCCGGCCTGGGGACACCATGGATGTAGGGGGCAGTCCGTGGCCACCAACTAGGGCCCACTGGCAGGTAACAAGCTCCTCGAGCCTCAGTGTCCCCACCCGCACATGGCAGTAGAGACGGGGCCCTTGAGGAGCTGGTCTGGTGAGACAAGGTGAGACTCACTGTGAAGTTTTAATTAATTAACTTATACTCTTGCCTTGTTCTCAACAGGATTGAAAACAGATAACTTCTACTAGGAGATTATCAGATACTATGGATCCTGTCAGGGTCCTTTCACTTAACTGCATCACTAGGCCTGGGGATTTTCCATCTTGCCCCAGTGGTGAGACGCGCCCCTGTGACCTGGGTGAGTTATACTCCCACGAGACAGACAGAAAAACAAGATGAGGCCTCAGGAAGTTTTGGAAAGGACAACGGGATATTAGTGGACCTACAGGTGCACGCAGCACCTCGCCTGCACTTCCTGTCAGCATGTGCCAGGCTGGGCCACACCCACTGAGACATGGCTTCAGGGACTCTCTCGTCAGCCTGGGGTGAGGGTTGTGATCCCAGATGGAGAAACGGGGCTCAGAGTGGGTGAGAGATCTGCCAGGCACACCCTCACGGCTGTGAGGCCAGGCAGTCTCGGGTGGGAGGGCTACAAGGGGCTCCCTGGGCTTCTCACTGCCCCAGAGGCTTCTTTTGCACAGCGAGCTCCAGGACCCCTCCTCCAGGGCCTGCTGGCCTGGAGGGGACAAATGTGCTGCTTGAGCTGCCTGCCAGGACCACTTCTCCCCAACTGCCTGCTCCTGCCAGGTGTGACTCCAGGTGTCACCTTTCAGGTGTGACTCCAGGTGTGGCCACAGCCCCTAGCCTGGGGGCACAGTTAACCTCCCCGAGGTGTCTTTGAGCAACTCTCAGCCCATTGTATTCTGACTGAGTGCTCCGTAAAGCCCCTGCCAAGGAACCGAGGCACCCAGCCCAGCTCCTTGAATGTGATCACAAAGCAGAGCACGGAAACCCTTGGTTTGGACAGAAAAGCAGCAGGAATACTCTGCCATAAGGACAGCACATTCCCAAGGCTTTGAAGATAGGTTCTCACTGTCCTGCCACACACACTCCAAAACCCTGGTGAGGTGCGAGTTCACCCACCCCATTCCTGAATGTCTGATCCTCTGCCCGGCGCCCTCCCTGGGACCCTGCCGCCCGGGGACTGCGGGATCCAGCGTGCTGCCTGCCCTGTCCTGGCCTCTCCTGGCTCAGATGCTCCCTACCCTCTCATCCTGCCTGGCACAACTGAGGTCCTCAGAGGACGCTTCAGGCTGCCTTCACGTCCCACGGGCTCCTTGTCGGGGGGCTGCACTCCACCTCCCCGGAAGCTCTAGCAGCCTCCCTACCCACAGGATCCCCCACCCCAGGGCTTTGGGGCTCACAAAGAGAGGCAGGGGCTACTGAAGGGGTTTGCAGGTGTTCCTGGGGAGCCTCCCAAAGGTGGCTGGCCTGTCCTGCTCCATGTGCTGAGTGAACCCCGAGGGAGCAGGACAGCGCAGCTGGCAGAGCATGCACACTCAAGCTCGGCCTCCGTGGGTCAGCATGCAAACACGGCCGGCCACTCAGCCTCCCAGCAGAGGGGGCAGTGGCACCCACCACGTGGCTCTGGAGGGTGGCTCTGGGCCTGTCGTTGAGACGCGTCGTGTCTGGGCTGTGCCTGGTGCTTCATGGGCACAGGGTAAGCGGGGCTTTGGGGATTTTCGGGAGAAGATTCACACCTTGTGGGAGTGCAGAGCCCTGGCTTTGAAGGGCAGTGGGCCTGGGCCTGTCCCCCAGGGAGGGAGGTCATTGAACCTCCTGAGCCTCAGTTTCCCCATCTGTGCCTCACGTGGTGATGGGCAACAGCAGACAGCTCCGTGTCCTGCCCGTGCATGCAGGACAGAGTCTCCTGCTCCAGGTGCTAGTGGGAGCACGCCACACACCCTTGCGCCCGATGGCACCGAGCTGACCCCCGACTGACCTGTCCAGATTGTCCAGGGAGAAGCGCTGTGTGGAAAACCGCAGGTAGCTCTCCTTGTAGAACCAGATGGTCAGGGGGTTCCAGTCGGTGACAAGGAACCACTGCCTGATGTCGAACTTGGTGTCATAGATGAGCAGTGGCGTCTCGATGTACTTCTGCACCACCCACCTGTTGTCCTTGGCGGGGAGGTGGTCTGCAGCCACCAGCTCCAGGATCTCCTCCACGCGGTTCATGCACACTATATCTGCAGGAGGTCCCCACTCAGCCCCGGGCATGGCGCTCCCAGTCGAGGCTCAGTCCTGAGACCCAACACGGCCTGGGTCCTGGACCCGGAGGCAGCATGGCTGGGTGGGGCCGGGCAGGAAAAGCTTTGCCCTCAGGGTCGAGGCTGCAGCCAGGGCAGGGCAGCCCCCAGTCTCTCCCACCACGAGGCCAGCCCTCAGGGCTCCAGAGAGGACACCAGCATGGGAGCGAGAGGGATGGGGACGGAGGCAGTTTTAAAAGGCAGCCAGGGAGTGGTGGCTGAGCACCAGCCCTGGGTGTGAGGTGAACAGGGGAGCAGGGCTAGCTCTGTGGGCTGCAGGGAAACCAGCAGGCAGGGGCAGTGAGGTGTTCTACTGGCTTCAAGGCACAGGTGCCCAGTGGCCCTGGGGTCCAGTGAGGCCTCACACCCAAGGATGACTGGACGAATGGGGGTGAACCAGGGAAGGGGGGACTGGAGTGCACTACTGTTCACCCATGTTTCCACTTTGCAGGAGGATTTACAGCTTCTCGTTCTCAGACCCCAAAATTAGGCCACATGACAGGTGGTGACCAGTGACATCTGAGCAGAAGTGACATGCATCTCTCTGTGCCGCAGCATTTAATGTCACCGACAGACCCTCCAGCCCTCTCTTTCTCTGCCGTGACAGCCCTGAAGCCTGAAGGGAGTGGTGTCACAGATGGTGGGGGGACTTTGATGGGAAGAGCCCCCCCATCCTCCTGTGCCAACCCGCAGTGGACAACAAGCATGATCCAAGATGAACTGGTCTTACTGAGAGCCACTGAGGTTTGGGGGCTGTTTGTTACACAGCACAATCCAGCCTGTCCTGATGGATACAAGGGTGGAGGGGGCACCATCTGCAGAGGCCCAGAGCACAAGCATCACAAGACACAAGATGAGCTTTCCTCACAAAAATACAGGACTAGTTTCTTCAGTTACGGTAAGTTGAGACCTTGCCATCTTGAAATGAAAGTCTAGGACGAAGCAACAGGCCACTGAAGTTATCCTGGGCCAAGAGCAGGGGGCGCACAGAGGCAGGGGCACAGCCAGTGACTGGGCAGGAAGCGGTACATTGGGTTCTGAGGTGTCCGTGGAGCATCCCTGGGGACGCAGGTGTCTGCGGTGAAGGGAGGTCTGCCCTGATGGACAGGAGGAGGGAGCTGCCAGCAGATGGATGCTGCCATCCAGACAGGGACAGAGCCTGGAGCCCCGGCCCCACCTGGGAGGACGGACGCTCAGAGGAGGGCAGGCGGAAGCCCAGAAAGGAGAATGTTTCAGGATGGAAGATGTTTAGGACTGAATGTAGTAACATCACAAATTAATAAAGATTTTTTAAAAATCACATAAAAATTAACCACCTATGAATTTAAAACAACAACAAAACTCTTCAAATAACTCAGGGGGCACATAGAATAGCCTAACAAAAAGGGAAGTCTATTTAGATACTCAGGAAAATGAGAACATCGTAGAACTTCAGAAGAGGATGCAGCCAAGGCCACATTCAGAGGAAATTTCACAGTGTAAAAGCTTTAATTGTTGCACAAGAGAGATTTGAAATAAATAAGCTGAGCGTTTGAGTCAGAGCCACGGGGGAAGAAATCCCTCACAGGAAAATTGAAAAAATGCAACCAAAAGTTGGTTCTTTGGAAGCACGAATAAGATTGGAAAACACATTGAAATCCTGTTTTTAAAAAGAACACATAGTATCCACCATTAGGAATAAAAAGAAGACATGGTTGCAGCTACCACAGAGGAGGATGAGTACACGGTGAAATGTACACGGTGCCAAGGAGGTGCCTCCAAGAGAGAGCCGGGCGCTTACAGGCCAGTTTCCTAATATATCCGAGGAGCAGGAATTCCGTCGTTCCGACGACTCCATTGTTGCTTGAGATAGAGGCCCTTACTCCGTTTTAGTAGCTAGCGTAAGCCTATCACCAGGATGGATGGAGGAAATATAGAAAAGAAAACTACAGACCAGTTTAACTTAGGAACACAGATGGGAACGTCCTAAGGAATCAGCAAACCTTGGACATAAACTGTGAAGACCAGTGTCTGTTGAGACGCCCCTCCCCCGGGACCAGGACCACCGGGCGCCTGCGAATCCTGTGCGTCCAGCCGGCGCCGCTCCCACGGCTGGCTGTCCCCGCCGGCTCCTAGCCTCGGTGGACCCCTGCGCACAGCGCACAGCCTCGAGACTCACCTCGGCCCCGGGACTTGGCCGCGGGTTTTACGATCCAGATGTTCCGAAGCCCGTCAATCTCCATCTGGGGGTTCACGGAGGTGAGTTTACTCAGCAGAGCCTGGCACCGCGAAAAGTGGTTTCTTGAATCAGAGATGAAAGCGTCGCCTCTACAAAACAAGATCCAGCGAGCGCATGAGGTTCGGAGGGCAGTGCCCAGGCTCTGTTGACCAGGTGCGGCCAGTGGCTGACCTGGCGGGAAAGGGCGAGGGGTGGACCTGGAGCTTCCTCCTACCACCCGAGGGGTGCCTGGGAACACGCCCTTTCCCAGGTGCTCCCGGCTGGGCAGGGGGAGACATGGGGACCCCGACTGTGGGTCTAGACTGCACGTACACCCCAGGAGCGCTGTGCCTGGGGCCCAGGAAAAGCTGCAGGGAGATGAGGGCGGGGTCCCTGTGCCGCATCCCCTCGTCAGTGTGGCCCTTGCAGGCCCATGTGTCCAGTGGTTGGTGGCGCCTGGGATGACCTCTTGCCTGCAGGGAGGTCCTGATGGGAAAGCCGACCTGCCCACACTGGCCACGCCATGTGCTGCAGCTACCAGGGCTGGACGCCTGCTTAATGTCCTGCAGGCTTGACCGTCACTCGGACCGGCTGGTGGCCACACAGTCATGGTGGCAATGGGGCCAGCTCAGGAAGCCACCATAATTTAAGGGAATAAAGGCAGGGTGGACGCTAGAACTGTTTGAGAGGGTTTAGAGCGCAGCCACGCATTTTTGAAAGCTGGGACAAGGAACCTGCCCCCAGGGCCGCATCAGACCCCCCACGCATGGGTGGGCTGTAGCAGAGGGTGGGCTGTGCTGAGCTCTGAGGTGATGGCCTGGAGGCAGGAGCAAAGCTTTTTGGGATAGGGATGTCTGTGCACAGTGTTCTGTTCACACCTGCTGGGGATGGGAGGGCAACATGGAAGGGAAAAGTGAAGCGTGGTGGTGTCCCCGATGATGGGGGAGAGACCCCCCAACCGTGCTGCTGTGCATGAGGGCACGAGAAAGCAAGAGCCGCGAGGCGGTGCAGGCCCTTCCCCAGGCGCAGGGAACGTGGGTGACGTGTCAGAGAGGGCCTTGCCGCCCTGGCTCTAGCTGGACCTGCTGGAGGGGAGCCCCCAGACCTGCCAGGCCCTCCTCTGTAGCAAACAGATTCTATCTGACCCCAGGATGACAACAGGACATGGTGGAAACGGGCGCGAGTCCCTGTGCGCCTCATGACAGTCCCGTCTGGCTGCAGAGACTGGCCCTGGAGACCGTGGTGAACTAAAGCAGGTCGCCGAGAGCGTCCACAGTGCTGGTCAGGATCACAGCTGCCCAGGAGACCAGTAGATGCGTCTGGTGACACGAATGCAGTCTCGACTTTGGCTCAGGAAGAGGACCAGTGGTTGGCTCTCCCTCAGGAAGGAATCCCCGCGATCTTTCCAGGGCATCTCAGCCCTGGCCTGGAGGATGCCTCAGCCCGGCACCGTGGTATCTGGGCAGGATAGCCGTCAACTGTGAGTTTGCACATCATGGTAATAACATCGTCACCACCACCACCCGCCCCCCACCCCCCTTGGAAGAGAGGACAGGAGGACTGGGAGCTGTTCAGGAGCCCAGTTTCAGGTCCGGACGTTCAGGTCCCAGACACATCCGTGATCATTAGACAACAAGCACCAACCCCCTCCCCACCCCGATGCTGAGGATAAGAGGGAGGGACACAGCGCCTGCCCTTCTGCTCCTGACGACACGCACATCACGTTTGGGGACACCATGTGCCCCACCAAGTCAGGGCACAGACTGAACTGAAGGGCCCTAACAGCCCTAACGCACTCAGCAAGCCCTGCAGGCGCCACAGTGGCCACGCGGGTCTACTGCTGCCACCTCGTGGTCACTCCCGGACTGCTTCTCTGTGAAGGTGTAAGAAAATGGTCAAGTGCATAGTGCCCTACTCAGAGAAAACCGTCAACGTATGTATACATTTCACACGTGTACTCTCGTGCAGTTGCCACCCAGATCGAGATGTAAACACCTGCAGCCCCTCGAAAGGTTTCCCTGTGTTCCATCCCAGTCAGCCCCCTCTGCCCTCTGCCCTCCTATCTGTGTAGACTCGGCTTCCTTGAACTTCACGTGGGTGGACTCACACAGCACGTACTCTTCCATGTCTGGTCTCCTTCGCTCAACAGAACGACTGTGAGGTTCACCCGGGTGTGGCCTGGACCAGCAGCTCCTTCTTTCACATCTCGAGGTTTCCAGATTTGGGCTATTATGAATGAAGTCTTTCCGAGGACATATGTTTTCATTTCTTTTGGATAAAGACCTAAGAATGGCACAGCTGGGTCGTAGGGTATGTAGATGCCTAAATTTATAAGAAACTGCCAAAGGCTTTCTAACCTGGTTGTCCAATCTGCACTCTCACCAGCAGTGCATCGGAGCCCCAGCTGCCCCCCGTATTGGCAACACTCAGTGTTGGGTCTTTTGTTTCAGCCGTTCTGGGGGGTGTGCAGTGGTATCTCCGTGTGGTTTGAATCTGCGTTCTCTCATGAGTACTGACGGTGAGTTCTAGTCACATGCTTATTGGCTATGTGGCTGCCTCTTTTGTAAAGTGCCTGTTGAAGGCTTTTGGTATTTGCAGTGGGACTGTTTCTCCCTTCCTCCTGATCTATAGGAGTTCTGTATGTATTCCACACACGAGAGCTCTGTGGGACATACGCATCGTACATACATTCCTCCAGTTTGTGGCTTGCTTTTGTAGTGTTTTTTGATAAACAGAGTTCTCAGTGTCAATAGAGGGAAATTTCTCAGTTTTTTCTATTATGATGACTGCTTTTAGTGAACTATTTAAGAAATCTTTCCTTCTTCACGATCATGAAGATATACTCCAGTGTTTTCTTATCTTTTTTTTAACTTTCACATATCATGATAATTTCAAATTAATTTTTGTGTATTTATGAGGCAGGATTCAAGGAACATTTTTTCTTATAAGGATGCTTGTTGCTCAAGCACCAGTTAGTGAAAAGTCTAACCGTTCCTCACGGAACTGTTAAGAGAGGTGGCCCCTTGATCTTAAGTGCTCATACACATGAGGACCTATTTCTAGGCTCTCTTCAGTTACATGGGTCTATTCATTCTATCCATCTACCTCACCCCAATACCACACTGTCATAATTACTGTAGGTCTATCGCAAGTCTTGAAATACAGGCATAAGTCCTCTAATCTTGTTTTTCTTGACCAAGGTTGTCTTGGCTTTTCTTAAATCATTCATATTGCCAAATAAATTTCAGAATCAGTTTGTCAATTCCTCCCATCCCATCCCTCCAAAAAAATCCCTGCATGGATTTTGACTGGAATTACATTGAATCTATAGATTAGTTTAGGAAGAACAAATATTTCTATATCACAGAGTCATTGATGAACATGGTTTTATGCACACACACACAATTATTAGGTCATTAATTTTTCTGTTTAATTTTATACTTTTCAGTTAGGGTCTTCAATGTATTTTGTTATATTTTCTTCTAGATATTTGTTATTTGATGTTGTTGTAAATTGTATTTTTAAAATTCCAGGGGCCAGCCTGGTGGCGCAAGCGGTTAGGTGCGCGTGCTCCGCTGGGGCGGCCCGGGGTTCACCGGTTCGGCTCCCGGGCGCGTACCAACGCACTGCTTGTCAAGCCATGCTGTGGCGGCGTCCCATATAAAGTGGAGGAAGATGGGCATGGATGTTAGCCCAGGGCCAGTCTTCCTCAGTAAAAAGAGGAGGATTGGCAGATGTTAGCTCAGGGCCGATCTTCCTCACAAATAAATAAATAAATAAATAAACAAAAATTCCATTTTATGGCTGTTGCTAGTACATAGAAATCAATGGACTTTTGTATTTTACCTGGTACCTAGTGACATTGCTAAACTCACTTAATTATGATACTTTCTTTATGATTTTTAAAATTTTCTATGTGCACAATCAGGTCATCAGTAAATAAAGAGTTTTACTTCTTCCTTTCTGGTCTTATGCCTTCTATTTCTTTTTCCTCTACTATTAAACTAAACTGACCATTCAGTCAATACAGATTGGAGGTCATGATAGTGAGCATTTTTGTCTGATTCTGATTTCAAGGAGAACACTTTCAATACATAACCATAAAGAAATATGTTAGCTTTAGGATTTTTATAGATAAACTTTATCAAATTAAGGAATTCTTTCTTTTCCCAGTTTGCTGAAAAAAATAATAACATGGACAAGTGTTGAATTTCATCAATGTTTTGTATCTCTTGAGATGATCATATAGTTTTTCTTCTTTATTCTGTAAATGTAATGAAATTTACCAATTGACTTTTTTCCTTATTGTGGTAAAATACACATATAAAATTTACTATCTTAACTATTTTTAGGTGTACAGTTCAGTAGTATTGAGTACATTCATATTATTGTGCAACCATCACCGCCATCCATCTCCAGAACTCTTCATCTTGTAAAATTGAAACTCTGTCCCTATTAAGCACTAACTCCACATTTCTTCTTCCTCCCAGCCCCTGGCACTCACCATTCTACTTTCTGTCTCTGTGATTTTGATGACTCTAAGTACCTTATATAAGTGGAATCATACAGTATTTGCCTTTTTGTGGCTGCCTTATTTCACTCAGTGTACTGCCCTCAAGGTTCATCCATGTTGGATCGTGTGTCAGAACTTCCTTCTTAAGGCTGAATAATACTCCACTGATTGACTTTTGAATGTTAAATCAAACTTGAGTTCTTGGAATAACTGAAATGAAAAATTATCTAGAAGGATCCAAAGGCAGATTTAAGCAGGGAGAAGAAAGATCCAATGAACTTGAAGATAGGAAAATGGAAATTATCAAGTTTGAGGAAGAGAAAAAAAAAAGATTGAAGTGAACAGAGCCTAAAGGACCTGTGGGACACCACCAAGTGGGCCAACAGGTGCATCATGGGAGTCCCAGAAGGAGAAGAGAGAGAGGGGCAGAGAGAATATGTGAGAATATAATGCCTGAAAACTTCCCAAATTTGATGAAAGATGTGAATATCAACATCCAAGAAACTCAACAAACTCCAATAAGATGAACTCCAAAGAGACTTATGTGGAAACACATTATAGTCAAACTTTCGAAAGACAAAGAGAGGATCTTGAAAG